TAGCGATAGCGCTCCGCTATCTATTCGGTGGGTAATAGCGATAGCGGTAGCGGACTAGCGGAAGTCTTTTCGATAGCGGAATAGCGATACGCTATCGTTCTTCGATAGCGCGCCCAACACTGCAGATAACGGTATGATATATATCTCATCCCGGAACGTGGGGGTAAGTTTGTGACCTTTCCTTGTTAATATGTATTGTATGATTTATCTTTAGTTAATTTCTTTCAGAACGCAGTTTATTATTCAATGGAAATTCGCTTATTTCACTGGCATTTTATGTTCACTGAAAGCCATCGAAATGCTAAATTTTTTCGTTTTTGATTTGATTTCGTATATTCAATTCAAATTTAATTCTCACAATTTAGAGCGGGAAAAGAGAGTCGAACAAATTATCACAACATAAATAAAATGTTTTTGTAAACGATTAAGTCGACGCGATATAGTACGTAAGCAGCTTCGGATAGAAAAAAAGATTAATTGATTGGAGGCGTCTGGATTGTTATCTATCGATGGAACACAATTGGGACGATGGTGATTGGCTGTTCACTTCAAATTTTGATTGAAGCGTTGTAAAATATCCGCGGGAAAATACGATGGTGATGACGTATTTGCGGGAAAATACAATAGTGACGTGTTTGCGGGAGAATATTCAGAAAGGGATGACCTTTTGACAATGGCTTCGATTCGACTTGCTTGGTGTTTAGTGTTTTTTGATGAGTGACGGCTTTAAAACGGGAGTCGCGTTCGATTGAATGGCAGTTCTAACCGATGTAGCTGGCGTCGCTTCTCCCTCGAAGCATTTCGCTTGGGACTTCCTTTAGCATGTGTGATTTGGCTTATAATTAGCCTTCGCTTGCGTTTAGGAATTTGAATCTATCGATGGAGTTTCCCTTTAAATCGACGTGTTGCGATAGACCTACTGTTTGTTAAGTAGAACTGATTTGGCTTGGAATATCCTGCACTTTTCCCCGTTAAAGGAAACGCTTGACTAGAGTTAGATCGCCTTGACGGACGTGAAATTCGAATAATTTTCGTTTATACAGTGGCAGAATTATGATTTCAGATTCAGACCACCACTCNCCCCGTTTAGTCGGTTACAGCTTACCAGATTCATTTGATCAGATATGGCTCCTCCTACAGTGCTTTTGAAAGAACGCAATCAGGTGATTTCCAATGCATTGGATAATGATAAAGAGAATGTTAACAACGTACGTTACTTGATGTTTACTTTTTATTCGTATCTAAGGTGAACACGCCACCGCCCATTCCAAGCCTGAACTAAGCATGAGCCAGTCTTAAACGAAGTCTTCGAAAGTGCCTAAGTGAGCTTCAGAAAAGTCAAATTCCTTGATAAACGAGCCTCAGACAATGCTCTAACTTAAGTCAATGAAAGCTTTAGATTTCGGGATTGGCGTTTAGATCCTATGCGAAAACTGACGAAAGAAGTAAAATTAAGGCGGAGAATGTGTTTGGGACTATACGATGTACATGACATCATTTGGAGATTTTCGAATTAGCATGAGTGAATGTTTTTGTTTACGCTTATCTCGGCAATCCAGTGAAAATCTCTGTATGTGCAAGCCAAATAATGACGTGAGATAGGCAGGCAGACGGCTGCTCAGCTGTGGATATTTCGTTGAAATGAATTTCGCAACTCGCATGTGAGTTATGCGCTATTCAGCTAACCGTTAAAGCCCGCCTTCTACTTCTACTCCTTTTTATAACGTAAATTGAGAATGCCTGCGGACGCTAACATAACCTATCTTCAGTTCGAAAACTTGCAAATTTCAAAGAACACGACAACGGCTCACGCAGAAAAGGTAAACTATTTTACTTAATATTAACCAAATTCCCTTTACCAGATAAGCAAAAAATTTCACTCATTACCAACCAAACGTTCTCGTTCTTGTGTTTATGAGGTTACCTTTCCTTAAAAAAGTAATAGGAACCATCTGTTTTTTCTGTTTTGACGAATCAGTTACTTCTCACTGATTATACTTCCTTTATCTGCTCATCGTTATCGCAAAATAAGCACTTCTTTAGCAAAGGGGCCCCGGCACATCTTCAGCTGAAGGGCGCCACCGCGCGC